CAGCCCCAGTCAGCAATCTGGCTGCTGAATTTTGGACCCACTGAAGTTTCCTGACACTTTTCATTGGCAGACCCACATAGAGCGCATTACAGCAATCCAGCCAGGAAGTAACAAGGGTGTGCATCACAGTAGCCAGATCAGCAATTGTGCAAATGCACTCCTGGCCACTGCTGGCCTGGGCATCCAGGTTCCTTGATGAATCCAGGAGTACCCCCAAGCTATGCACCTATTTTTTCAATGGGAGTTGAACAGTACAGGGATCCAGTACCAGCTGCATCCCTGTTCCTTGATCTGCCTTTCTACTGACTGGGAGCATATGTTTAATATGCTTATAATAAATAAACACATGTGTAATATGCTTATTTTAAAGCATTGTACTGTATTACATTCTTCAGTGTTTTAATACTTATTTTTTACATTCTTCACAAGCCACTTTGGTCTCATATGAAAGATGCAAGCAAGAAATAGTACAAATAGCCGTATGACATTATATAATTTTTTATTAAAATATTTCTTCAAAATTTCTTCAAAAATGCTATCTCCCCACCACCACCACCACCATCACTGTGCTTTAAGTAACTGACCAGGGTTTCATAAACAGTATAACCTAGAAATATATTTTAATCATTCAATGAGTTGCCTATTTCTCATGGGACCACCATGTTACTATTATTCTCATATTCCTGCACAGACTTTGTCTTGTACTGCAATGCATGGCAGTTTTCCCCAAGTTCAAAAAGAATTCAAATTCAGAATTCAGAGTGCTGTCCTCTGAAGATGCCGGCCACAGAGAGTGGCAAAACGTTAGGAAGAACAACCTTCAGAACACGGCCAAAGAGCCCAAAAAACCCACAACAACCAATTCAGATTTGATTGTTCCACTCCAATGCCCAGAATTCAACTGAATATTTATACTGCCATAATGGTGCAACTTGGAGTGATAAGTTCATGGCACCAAGTATTTATGCTGGTGTAAGCCTACAAGTGGAAGATACTCATTAATGAATGAGTTCATGACTGAATTTCTAGTCATGTACCAACTACATGACTTAGCACATGGCTAAGAAGTCAACTGAAGATTTGTTAATTAGCAGCTATTTGCCACTCATGCTTTTATGCAAGCCTAAATATTTATTTGGTTTCTAGCCCATGTATTGTTTGGAATTTTTCAGCTCAAAATTACTTGGCTGTTTGGCAAGGTTGTCTTTGTGAAGTAACGAAGACCTGGCATGAACTTAAAAACTGACCCATGTTTTCTTTCTCTCCCTTCACAGACATACACACATACAAACACACGAACTATATAGACCAGATTACTGGATATTAACTGTAATTCCTGTAGGCCTGGAACCCACTTTCACATAAAAGAATAATGAAGTCTTCTTTTAGGTGCACAATTTGAAGGATAAATAGGCATGGTATATCTACAATCAAAATGAGTGAAATAAAAGTGAATGACATGCCATAGCAGCTTTTGCTTTGGATGTTTTCCTGAAAACTCTGGCATGGGGCACAGAGTTCCATATTTTCATGTTCAATATTTCATTTGCTCAATGAATGAATACATCTAGTTTGACTCAAAAGCAGACTGGAACTGGTTGCAGGCAAAATACTTTTAAAATGCCATGGTTCTTCCAGTCTATTAGCACCACTGCTAAAAACAGTAAGCATACAAATACTCAAAGAAATGCCACTGTAAAAGACAGTAAACAAAAGCAACACCAAAAACACATTCAAAGTAGTAAAGCACAATCCATTTAAAAACCCCACTCAGACAGCCAGTCACTGAGGGAAAGCATGCCTGAAGAGAGTCTGCCTGCTTGAGGAAGGACAGTAAAGATGGGGCTAGCCCACCCTCCTGTGAGAAGCAACAGAGAAGGCCCTCTCCCATGTCCCCACCAAATGCACCTGTGAGGGTGGTGGGACTGAGAGAAAGGCCTCTCCTGATGAACTTAACATGAAAGCATGAGCTTAGCATGAAAAGAACTTCAACACTTATTTACCACTGTTTTGCCAAAGTTGGTTTAATGCAAGAACCTAAAACCAATATTGTATCTCAGCACTTCCAGTTATCCACCAGGGGCCATAACTGTGAAGAGGCGCTGCCAATTCATAGAGCTGCATGGTTTTCCTTTGTGATGGTGCTACCCGTCCATCTGCCTTCTCATAGCATTAAATCACTGACAAGTATGGTAACATTTTGGTTTTGCCTTTTGTTCTTCCTCTAGAGAGCTGGGTTAATTTGGCCCAGAGAGATGGCAAATGAATAGGCGTGGTGAAACTGGCAAGGTGGAGGGAGACCCAGTGAGAACACCTTGTTCAAGATCTGTTAAAATCTGGAGCCAATATTAAAGGAAGTTATGCATTAAACTGCAACTTACATCAGCATGTTAAAATGGAGAATAGCTTAGCTGAAACACAGTACCAATACTTGCGGAAGTAATAAAAAAGTTCTGGAAGTAATGAAGTATTTAAAAAGAAGGGATAAATCAGGAGTGTTCATCATGACCCAGACTAAGGGTCAGTACTCTTCCCTGATCACAGAACCTTGGACATATGGTATCCTAGCTATTGTGTTGCCAGATTTCAAATGAAAACCAGAAAAGGTGCTTTAAAACAAGGAAGAAGTATTAGTTTATAGGGATTTTCACAGTTGTTACTTATTTTGGTGGAAAACCACAAACTCCTCCTTTAAAAAAGCATTGAAAAAATTATCAATTTGGCACTGAAATTTAGAAAAGTGGTTTAGTATCAAATTTCAGTGGCAATTTGTGTTGCCCAGAATTCATATAAACAATCCAATCCTTCCCACTAAATGTTCAGTTACACATCCGAATATTCTATAAAATTCCAAAAACTTTCAAAAGATCTCCTGTATGGAGAATTAGTGCAGGGAAATCGCCCCGGAGAGAGACCACAGCTGCGATACAAGGATATCTGCAAGTAAGATCTGAAGGCCTTAGGAATGGGCCTCAACAGATGGGAAACCCTGACATCTGAGCGTTCAACCTGGAGGCAGGCAGTGCATCACAGCCTTTCCCAATTTGAAGAGACCTTTGTCCAGCAGGCCAAGGCAAAGAGGCAGTCACCAAAGCAGCAAAATCAGGGAGCTGGACAGGGGACAGATTGTATTTGTCTTCAGTGTGGAAAAGACTGTCACTCTCAAACTGGCCTTCTCAGCCACACTAGATGATTTTCCAAGTCCTCCATACAGAGCATGTTACCATAGTCTCTCAAGACTGAAGGATGCCCAATCTAATCTAATCTAAATTCGATAACACTTTATGACTTACCTATGCAAAACCCAAAAAAAGGAACGATATATTATTGCACCTATAATGTGGATATCTCAACCACAGCTGATGATGATGATAATTGGTATTATAATTAAAAACTATTAGTATTGTTGAATAATAATAATAATAGTGTAATAATAATAATAATAATAATAATAATAATAATAATAATAATAATAATAATAATAATAATAATAATAATAATACCACACTCTACACCAAGCCTATTTCAATAAAAACAATAAGATTTGCAAAAGTTCAACATTTTAAAATAATAGTATGATATCAGTGTGTGAATATAAAACTCCTCAGAAAAGGCAGTCATCCAAAGAGTGTTAAAACTACCAACAAAACAACTGGAGTTCAAATCAAGATACACCAGTTGTTCTCCTCACCTGACACCTACAGAACGCAGTATTCTAGTATGTGATTTGTCTCTAAAATCCTTTCCTAGGTACAGGCAATACGTAACTGTTTAGAATAAATAAAAAATAAAGTGCTTGCGGTAACAACTGGGAGAAAGACACAAAAGGTTTTTGAAGTACCAGAGTGAAGAAACAGCATTAAGAAAACATATTTTCAGCACCCACATTCTTGCAATGGCACGTGATTTACATTAAATTCGTTTCCACTCATGTGACTTTATCATTAATACTTCAACACCCGCACAATCTAAAAAGTCACCACTGCTGACATGCTAGCCAGCTAAGTTTGCATCATTGCTAAGATCACACTGTCCTCCCTCTCAAAGCTGTTCTTCATTATACAAAAGCCAGAGATGTCCTGCATTTGGCCTTATCCCAGCATGATTTTTTTCCTCAGTACCTTTTTGTAAAAAAAAAACCCACCACTTTTGCTTCATTTGAATAACTCTCAAAGAACATCACAACTCATATTTTCATAATAATTATCATTAACTTGAAATATTTGGCCAAAAGTCACAGTGCTGAAGACAGTGAAACCACCACAGAATAATGTAGTGAAACCCATATTTCCCACCCCCCTATGATTCCAAAAAGGTGTAAGTGCAGACTTTCCCTTACTGCAATTACTGATCTGTAACTATCATTGTTCTGTTGATTTAATGGTCTATATATGCTCTTAAATCCCTCATGATTACACAAATGGCCAGCCTAGCTTTTGCTTTTTCCTGGACAAGTCCTGGCAAAAACAAAACAAAACACCAAACCTTATATAAACTGTTTTTACAGTAAAAACAGTTTTCTCATTCCACTAAGCAATATGGTTTCTTCTTACATCCCTTTCAGTCACTACCATATTGAATTTTGGTTCTAACACACTAATAAGCCACACTAACAAGCCAAACCAGAATTTTAAAATGCAGGCTTGGTATAATTACTCTTAACAGCAAGCAAAGAGAACAGCATAAACATGCCCCATTTTAGTATGCATTACTATGTTGGAATTTGGTGACAGGAAGTCAAACCAGCTTTTTAATTTGAACTGGATGTGGAACTAAGTCCTAAAATGAATCCTCCCAAATGCCCCAACTCTAGACCCAGGCAGCTGTGTGAGCTTTCTGATTTAAAATTAAATAGGTACAATGTCCTAGGACCCAGCATCTCTGCCCTCCATCTGCCTTCAAGATGTCTAGTTCACGTACAACCAATGAACCCAGCTTCAAACCTCCCAGATGAAAAAAATAAACAAACTGGCCAGTATGGAGGAGAACCACACACTTACCCATCTCTGCCTTTACTAACTATTTTCACCTCAAAGTAATAAATACCACAGGCTGCAGGGATGGGGTGTGTAGCCCTGACTGAAGCAGCATCCTTGTGATTCTTGCCATGTCCTGAAAGAAATAGGAAAGAGAGGAATGAGACGATAAACTTTTTTTGGTCTTCAGTAATAATCAACTGATTAAAATAGGGTCTTTTGAGAAAGCAATCCTGCATGGAACTGCCAAAGAGAATGCCTGGCTAAGGACACCGACTGCATCACGGAGGGAAGGACAGGGAGACAACACCAGCCTTCTTTTTGTCCAACAGAGTTCTCAGCTTTGGGCCAAGCACATCAGCCGTCCAATTTCCAAGAAAAGAGCAAGAGAATGGTTGCCACCAGGATATAAATGAAAATCAGGTGACCTCCAGGGGCGGGGGGGGGCTCACAATCCTCACAGGTCTCAGGCCAGGGCTAAGCCTCCAGTCCCTGCCCCCCTCCCCACTGTAACACAGACGGGACTGACCCTGGAAAGAACCGGAGGCAAGGCCAACCCAGGCAACCCAAAGCCCCCATTATCACTCCCAACTCTTGAAAGGGCCGAGCCAGGAAGATTCTCTTTTGACAGGGTGGGCGGGGGGGGGCTCACAATCCTCACAGGTCTCAGGCCAGGGCTAAGCCTCCAGTTCCTGCCCCCCTCCCCACTGTAACACAGACGGGACTGACCCTGGAAAGAACCGGAGGCAAGGCCAACCCAGGCAACCCAAAGCCCCCATTATCACTCCCAACTCTTGAAAGGGCCGAGCCAGGAAGATTCTCTTTTGACAGGGTTCTCTCCGCCCCTCAGACCTCCC